CTCCCCGCCGAGCAGGGAGCCCGATGCGGGACTCGATCCTGGGACTCCAGGATCATGACCTGAGCCGAAGGCAGTCGCTTAACCAACTGAGCCACTCAGGCACCCCCCTAAGAGCGTCTTTATGGTAGCAGCCCTGTGCCCCCATCTCTCTGGGTTCAGTTCTCAGAAGTGGGATTGCTAGTCCTAGGGTCTTGCATCCTTTTCTAGAAAATATGCTTTGCCATCGGCTTAAGCAGACTGAGAAATTAGAGGTAATCTGGCTATGTCTGGCACCCCTCCCCTCCCTTTTATCCCCACCTCCATCCCTGCCTCCTTCAGGGGGTAAGCACAAGGTGCGAGGCGACATCAACGTGCTCTTGTGTGGAGATCCTGGCACAGCCAAGTCTCAGTTCCTCAAATACATTGAGAAAGTGTCTAGCCGAGCCATCTTCACCACTGGCCAGGGGGCTTCAGCCGTGGGCCTCACGGCATATGTCCAGCGGCACCCCGTCAGCAGGGAATGGACCTTAGAGGCAGGAGCCCTGGTTCTGGCTGACCGAGGAGTGTGTCTCATCGATGAATTTGACAAGGTGGGTCCTTGGGCCCCGTGGCAATAGGATTCGGGATGTGTTGGCTTAGCCCTGAGTGGGGGAACAGGTGTTAACGGGATAGTGGTCGGGGCAAGCATCACACATTTGAACCTCCTGCAGATGAATGACCAGGACAGAACCAGCATCCACGAGGCCATGGAGCAGCAGAGCATCTCCATCTCCAAGGCCGGCATCGTCACCTCCCTGCAGGCTCGCTGCACCATCATTGCCGCAGCCAACCCCATAGGTACGCCAGGCACGACGGCCACGGGGGCTGGGGTCTGCCACAGGGAGGCCGGACCCAGAGAGGCCTCGCCTTGGGGAATAGAAGCCTGCAGCGTCCCTCAGCGAGTCCCGAGGTCTGAGGAAGGAACTGAGCATCAGAAAACCTTCCTCTCTTCCACGGTTCTTGCTGGGGCTGCATGGAAGCAAGTCTTGGGGTCTTTTGTTAAGCCATGTTTTTAGAACCAGTTTTGGACATTTTCCTCAGAAGACAGAAAAATCTAGTGCGTTATCTAAGGTCGGGCGGAGTTGGTTGTTGATCCCAGTCAGCCTGTGGGCAGGGAACTCAGGCACCTCACCCACCTTATTCTAGATTTTTCCTGCTGGGAGTTGATTAGACTTTTAGTCTAAAGGCTCTTTCAGGCAAGTGCTCCAAGAAAGCCCTTTTCCTTGTCTTGTCGAGAATGCCTGGCAGATGCAGGTACTGAGCATCCTTCCTTTTCCGAAGTCGTCTTTCTCTTCCGTCCCTGAAGCACCTTGAGGTTGGCAAGAACTTTGTGCTCAGAAGAAGAGCAGATCAAGGGAGCATGAGCCCTGATGGAGAGGTGCCTTTTTGTTACAGGAGGCCGCTATGACCCCTCGCTCACCTTCTCAGAAAATGTGGACCTCACGGAGCCTATCATTTCCCGCTTTGATGTCCTGTGTGTGGTGAGGGACACAGTGGACCCAGTCCAGGTACACAACCCTGTGTCCCGGGGCTCATGCAGTAAGTTCCGGGGACCTTGAGTGAGGCTTGGGGCCTGTGTTGAGTCAGGCGCAGAGACAGGGATGCCACTTGGACCACGGTGTTTGAGAGTCAGCCTTGGTTTCTCTTCCTTCACTGGCCCATGTCCGCTGCCCAGCCGGCAGAGTCCAGTCTCTGCCACCAGGCCCTTCTGGCCTGACCACCTGTGCCCACCCACTTCTTACCGCTTCCCTGCTGCAACCCGAGTCCCGGCTTCTCTTGCTCAGACCCAGAATACTGCCGTGTCTTGTGGTCGGTCTCTTGGCTTCCACTCCCACACCCAGTTAAGGCCGCCTCCAGTTGGAAGCCAGCCCATCTTCTGAAAACATAAGGTGGATTATGCCTCTTCTTAACCTGCTGGCAGCTTCCACTGTAACCAGCAGAGAATCCACTGGCCCCGAGAGGCCTCCTCTGGGCCTGTCTCTTCTTGCCTCTCCTCCTTGCTCCCTTTACTTCATCCACTCTGGCCACACCACCCTATTTCCCTCCCTTGCAGCTGCCAGGCCTTGGCCTGTCAACATGCTCTTCGCTCTTCCTGGAAGGCTCTTCCTAGTTGGCTGTATGGCTGAGTCTCCTCAGGCGCTCAGTCCTGTGCATGGTCCTCTCTGTGGTTATTCTGAAAACTGTGTCTGTCTGCTCTCTCACCAAGAGGTGAGCTCGAGCTTTGTCATGTGCACCGGTGACCCCCAGCACCCACAGCTTCCTGGCACATAGTAAGCATCGGATGATACTGTTGCGGGAATGTCATTTTCCAGCACCTGCAGCTTTCACTTCTTCCAGCGAGCCAGCTTACTCCAAGCCAGGTCATGAGACTCACTCTGTGACTTGCCCTCTCCCCTCTTATCTTAGGATGAGATGCTGGCCCGTTTTGTGGTTGGCAGCCACATCAGGCACCACCCCAGCAACAAGGAGGAGGGCCTGGGCAGCACGGGCACCCAGGAACCTGCCATGCCCAACACGTACGGTGTGGAGCCCCTGCCGCAGGAAGTCCTGAAGAAGTACATCATCTATGCTAAGGAGAGGGTCCACCCAAAGCTCAACCAGATGGACCAGGACAAGGTGGCCAAGATGTACAGTGACCTGAGGAAAGAGTCCATGGTGAGGGCCCAGGGCACAGCTGGGTGGGGCGGGTTGGGGGGATGCAGGGAGAGGAGCTCGGCAGAAGCTTCTTTAGCTGTGCAGTCCATTAATCTAAGAAGTGCTAGAGCCAGAATGCCTTTAAAAAATGATACGTAGGGCACCTGGGTGGCTCAGTTGGTTAAGCAACTGCCTTCAGCTCAGGTCATGATCCCAGGATCCTGGAATCGAGTCCCACATCGGGCTCCCTGCTCTGCGGGGAGCCTGCTTCTCCCTCTCCCACTCCCCCTGCTTGTGTTCCCTCTCTCGCTGTG